GAGAGAGAGAGAGACAGACAGAGAGTTTATTCCACAGAATGAAACTTCATGGTGTTATTCCTCAGTTCAACAGTTGTTGTGTTATGTAAAAAACTACAGAGCATCTTCATCATCTTCTTCATCATCATGTGACCTGGGTTCATGTCGTCATGTGATCAAACACTTGATTGAGGCCATGTCCACATTACTCCGTTTTTACTACGTTTACACTGAGCGGCAGGAGTTTTGGAGCACCCTAAACGGAGGAGTCTGAAAACTCCCCCGAGGTTGGAGGTGTTTCAAAGCTCCGGGGTTTTGGTTGAGTGTGGACGGGCGGAAACGGATGTGTGTTAGAAAAAATGAGCCCACACCCGTGCTCGCTACTGGATTGGTTATTAGCTGCCATGACGTCTCCGTCCCTGATTCGTCACACTCACTATCACGTGACCCGTACCCGGAAGAAAACAAACAGCCAGGGCGACCAGCGATTAATTTCAACATGGATAACTAATTTCAAGCGTTGCAGTAAAGTCTGCATTTCTGTGGAGGAAGCAGCTGTTATTGGAGCGATTAGCGAGCGCCGTGACCAGCGGCGTCATCAGCCCTATGGAGCGGCCAAGCCAGTTAGCCGTAAATGCTATTCAGAGCTACGTTGTTTTTAGATTCTAATGTGAAGACACGCTGCTTCGTTTTACTTCTTCCGTTTGGTAGCCTTGAGAGACCTTAGTCTGTATGAAGCATGAAAAGATGTACGAAGATATATTATATTTGCTCTTTTAGAATAGCATTTGTGTTGTATTAAATGCTAATCGCGGTTAGCATTTCCCCATTGACGGTAATGTTAAAATTAGCTTAGAAGCTAGCTAGTCGGACAGGTTACTTGATGTTCAGAGCTAGAGTTGTGCCCTAAAAGATGGAGCAATTCCCCCATGCCCTAAAGAATTGATAGAGGGCGAAGAAGCTGTCCCAGTTTTTCTGCTGGGTGACCCAGCTTATCCCCTGATGCCGTATCTCATGAAGGAATACCCCAATGGCGGAGCTACACCACAGGAGCAGTATTATGGGCTATCACTTTGCAAGGCACGCATGGTGATTGAATGTTCTTTCGGACGTTTGAAGGCAAGATTTGCAACTTTAAGGAGGGCAATGGACATAAACGTGGAGGACCTTCCCTTTGTCATCTATGCTTGTTTTCTGCTCCACAACTATTGTGAGGTTCACAAAGAAACTGTTAGTGAACAATGCATAAATGCTGCTCTGCAGTACGAGAGGGACTTCCAGCCACCTAGCAGAGCCACGAGAGCAGACAACAACGAAACCGAGGGGAAGCGCGTTAGACGTGTGCTAACCACATTTCTTGACCCATAACATAGTAGGAAGCAGCTGTTATTGGAGCGATTAGCGAGCGGCATCATCAGCCCTATGGAGCGGCTGTCTGAACCTACAGTTAGCAATAAATGCTATTCAGAGCTAGGAGTGGCAAACAGACAACACAGAGGAAACGAGTGAGAGACGAGTGTTGACCACATTTATGGACCCATAATCTAGTAAACGTTTACGTGTTGATTTTAAAGTAAAGTTGATATGTGTGTGTGAGAGCGAGATACACGCAGCGCTGTAACTACGTCTGAAAAATAAAACTTCTAAAACTTTCCACGAACTGTCTGTTTGAGTTTATAGAGGGAGATGTTAAGTATCAAATACAACCTTTCATTATTAAAGACTACTTTATTACTCTGTCGTATTTTTTTTTAACTAAGCAAGCAATCCACTTCCTGTTTACACCGTCACGCGCATGCCCAGTGTATGTTAATGGTCACGTGCTGTCCGCCTTCGAAGGCTGCCGTGTGGACGCAGATCAACTCGAGAATGATGCTGAAACTCCCGTGTGGACGGAGATCGTTTCTATTTGACAACTCTGCTTCTAAATGGAAACGGAGTAGTGTGGACATGGCCGGAGTGTTAGGGGCCCCCCCCCCCCCAAGGATGTAGTGTTTACTCCAGCCTGATGGATTGTCTGTCTGTATCAGCCTGTCTCACCGTCCATCCGCCGTCATCCTGATGAGAGCGACCTCTGCTGGCGTCCCCACAAAGGCTCCTGTAGCTCCGGCCGTCATACCGATCAGAGCCTGTAGGAGGAGCCACAGAGTCAGAGTGAAAGCAGTGGAAGCTGCAGCTGGAGGCTCCGCCCTGAAAACAGACAACGCTTCGGTACCTTGAGGAGGAAGTTGGGCGGTCGTCCGTCGTCTCCGGTCATCTTCTCAAACAGGACGGTGTAGATCCCAAGACGGGTCGTCGTGTAGGTCGCCTGACGCAGCAGACCAGCTGAGAGACTGAGAATAAACAATAAACATGTGATATTCTCCTTTAATCAATAAAGTGTGGTATAGAGTACTAGATGAAGTAGTGTATAAAGTAGGAGGTACCCGGTGTAGATGCCTCCCACTCCCTCGTTCTTCAGGATGGAGAACAGAGCGTGGAAGCTCGTCTTGTACTCTCGAGCCGTCGTTCCCTGACCGCTCAGCTGCATCCTGTTCTTCACCAGGTCCAACGGCTGAACAAAGACGGTCGCACCCATTCTGGACACACAGACAGGTACACAGAGAGAGAGAGAGAGACACATAGGTACACAGAGAGAGAGAGAGAGAGACAGAGACACACAGGTACACAGAGAGAGAGAGAGAGAGACAGGTACACACAGAGAGAGACAGGTACACAGAGAGAGAGAGAGAGACAGGTACACAGAGAGAGAGAGAGAGACAGGTACACACAGAGAGAGAGAGAGAGAGACAGGTACACACAGAGAGAGAGAGAGAGAGAGAGACAGGTACACACAGAGAGAGAGAGAGAGA